ATTGCATGTTTATTAATATCAGCTATCTTCATACTATTTAAAGCAATATTTGTTAATGTCTTCATATCCAATCCTTTTGTACATAATTGATGAATACTATCAGCGGCAACACCAACTATTCCAACGTGTTCTATTGATGAAATTGGTCTAACAAGATTACTTACAGTTGATGTTATACATAATAAATTTAATCCATAAGTAATTACTTTTTGTTTAAAATAATTGACAAGATCAAAATCATTAGTAATTTTTGTAGCTAAAATAAAAATAAAAATATATTGTTTTTCTAAAAACTTTTTTTAATCTTAATTTATTTACCAACAGCTGTATAAATATCAAACGTTCCATTAAGAACCATTAATGTTCATAACTTCCATTGATCACCAACACATAAAAAGGCTCCACCAGCAATTTGTGCAATACCCATCACAAAAATAAATATTATTTTCCACCAACATCGTTTAGGTTCAATTTCAAATATAAATACCCACACTAAACCTTCACTATACCATTCTTGGTATTCAGCATAGATTTCATTTTTAATTGCGTTAAAATGTGTATTCTCAAAACTTGATAATGTTACTTCCCAACTTTCACTGCGACAGGTTATTTCATGTTTATCTTCATCAAATTTACATAATTGAACTCGACTAGCTCGAAGTATTCGGTCACTCATAAAGAACATCCGGATAAAAAATGCATCGTTTCAATTCTTCCTCTAGTACAGTCCTGGACATTCAATATTAGAAAAGAGGAAGTCTGTTGGTTCAAACAAACGTATCATACTGTATACAGTTCCATAGTTCTATAGCGGATACTTTTGACAAGTCCTTATGTTAATTATGACAGAGTCTATAGCTATGCTATATTATTTATACATTGTTGGTTGTTGAAAAATCATTATAAATAATAATATTATCGTTTTACAAACTATTAATTGTCTAAGAAAAAACAAACTACACGACAAGAAAAGTAGTAATTAATAATCTTTTTTTATGAAAACCCATCGGATAATAACAAAGTGCATGTATGATTGTTTCTTCATTTTTTTTTTAAAGATTCCTTATTCAATTCTTTACAAAGAAAAGTTGTCTTGACATCATTATTATATCAGTTGATAGAGATGACGCTTCATAAACCAGCCTACTGAAAAGTTGATCTGTAATCGGTAATCATTTTCTACCAAGCAACACTAAATAATGCACTGAATACATTGAGAATGCTTTTCGAATACTCTTACATTACAGAAATGTGATCTTCAAGACACATCAGATATTTTAGCATATCGACGTAATAGTCTTCATATGTATCAACTTATATATAACAAAGATTTCAACGGGGTCTTTCTTTTATCATTATCAAGATTCATTAACTATCGAATAGTTTTGATGCCAATGAATTGAATTATTGATTTTGAGATAAATTTTTAAATTTCATCTATTATATGAACAGGACGTATCATACAAAAATTGATTATGATGATTATTTACATTAATAAAATATATACTGTTTTGCTGAGAATTTAAAAAATGAATCTTAAAAAATAACACAAAGCATGGAGAAATGTATATGAAAAACACATTTATATTCAACTGATCTATTGAAACAATACTGTTCAAATCAAACAAAACTTCAAAATTTTGCAAAGTTACTCGGAAGAAAAAGGGGAACACTCATAACAAATATCTCGATGTCTAGAACTGTCTAATTATCTCTTAGAGTCCTACAGAGTAAGATAAGGATGGTACAAAAGAAAATTAGGTTGTCGTTTCTATTACTAAGAACTTCATGATAATCAACTGTGACGGATACTCATTATATCATTTTGGTTTACAAGAAGTCGATTGTTACGTAAAATCGAAATTCACTTTTGCTAAAGAAAAATCATTCTTGTACGAGTAAGATCATAAATGAAGTTTCATCTTTTAATAATGTGTGATAATTTAATATTTGATGTTCATTGTTCTTATTTATCTGTACGTCCTCTATGAATGTTTTCTGTTGAATGAACATGTTCAAGATAGACAAGTTCAGCAATACATGATCTATCAGCAGATGTTTGTGCTGATAATTCATCATGAATTTGAAGAAATTTACGTCGTTCACTTTCATTACTAAGTAATGTTACAGCTATATGCAATTCTTTTATAGCTTCATTTATTGAATTTTGATCATTTTTTATATAACATAATACCATATTATAATGAAGAATAAAATCTTGTTTATCAACATTTACTGCTTGTTGATATAATGTTAATGCACGCTTTTCTCTTTCAAATACATTTTTCATACATAACATTTTAATACCAGCCGTAATCAAATATTTTGGATGAACAATTAATTGACGGAGAGCATCACATGTTGCATTAGCTATATGTACAGTAGGATATTGTTCATTATCTCTGTGCCAAGGAAATGGAGTATATGGTTGTGATAATGTTTCTTTCATAGTTGTAATAGCTAATTTAAGTTTTTGTTCGATTTCATTTGCAAATGCTGGAAAACGTTCATCAGCTGTTGATGCATCTTGGTCACAAAATGAACTCCATAATTCACGAAGTGAACTAAAACCTGGTTGTAATATATCGTTAGTAAATGGAAGATCATCTTTACGTGAATGAACAACATCAAGAAAACGAACAAGAAGACGATCTTTTGCTTCAATTCGATTGATTTCTTTAATTGCTTCATTCATATTATTTCTTTCAAGTTTATCTCGTTTTTTTTTCCAATATTCTACTAATTGAATTTCATTCTCCGAACTATATGATATCACATTATTATATTCTTTATAAATAATTAATCTCGCCGAACCTGGTTGTCCTTGTCGTCCAGCTCAACCAAATGCTTGTTGTTCAACACGTGCATTATTTGGCATAAATGTAACAATAACATGTAAACCACCATGATCAACAGCAGATGTTAGAATTTTTAAATCAGTTCCACGTCCAGCTAAATTTGTTGCAACAATTACATCACCTGGATGAACTTCTTCTGGTTTTGTATGTTCATCACTTCGAAGATAAAGTTTTATATTTGAATGTTGAGAACTTAAATAAGATTGAACATCATTTGCATCACGTATAGTTTGACAAATAATTAAAACAGCTCGATGATTAGTAATAGCTATAGTATGACATTCAATAAGAATTTTTTCTAACCATAATTGACGATTATCAGCAAATTGATCTAAAATAAACGATGATTATTTTAGAAAAATATTCATTTAGTTTAAATATTATTTACTTGGATAAATATCAAATATACTATCAATATATTTTGGTACAATAACAACATCAATATTATAAACTTTTTTTATAAATTTTTGTGAACTTTTTCCACCTAATGTACCAGTTAAACCATATAAATATTTATATTTTTTAAATAAAGTAACATTTGAATAAAATGAATCACACATACGTTCAGGTGTCATACGTAAATTATGTTTTAATTGAAGAAATTGATGAATACCATCACTCCAATGCATATTTATTTGAGATACACCTGTATTTAAATAATCAACAACAACAATTTCATTTTCTTTATTAATTATATAATCAACATCAAGTTGTAATTCATAAAGTGCTCGTCTTGCACTTTGAACCCATTTTGGTAGTTTAAAAAAAATATAAGATCGACGAAATTCAGAAAATTCAATTAATTGTTTATCATTTAATTTTTCACTGATAAAATGAACAGCATCAACTAAAATATACAAGACATTTAAATTCAATTTCTTTAGTTTATTAGAGTTTATTTGTAGTTTGATAACGGCGTACATTACGAGACAATCTAGATTTTACTGTCAT